TGGTGTTATAAGTAAATATGACAAATTGGTTGATACAGTTGTCAATCTTCAGAGATTAAAATTGCAACGATATGTTTAATATTTGGCCAACTACTTTCTACCTTGACATACATACATGCTTGTACAGTGATAGCTATAACAGTCGAACTATGATGGTATGTTATCAATCCATGAAATTTACTCACCGCTAGTCTTCCATGTATCATTAATTTCCAACTGTTTGGAGCTACACTTGTTTGTCATCAATGAATATCACTGTTAAATGAAATAGTTCAAATCATCCCACAATGGTATCAATGAATTCATCTTCTGATTATCGTTTCATATATTTTTAATCCATACATTCGTCAGATTCATTCAATCTCTTCTTCTGGATATTTAATTAGAATTGAACTGATGAATCAGTCATTGTTATTAGACCACCATCATTAGAAACCTGCAAAGCACTGCAAAAGATGGCCGTTTCGTCCTTGTATGGGACTCACCAATGACGGTGCACATTCACGACTCCTGCTACTCGTAGAAATCGAATTCAGGACCTTCGGTCTTGAGCGCGAACGCCTAGCCTGTGAACTATTTGGCCGCTTTTCAACGATGTTAATGTCTAACCCATCATACTAGAACGAAAGGGCCATCGTTGAGTCCTTCCAAGTTTCTTATAATAGTGGCCTAACAATGATCGATCGATTCATGATTTCACTGACATACATCAATCTCCATAACTCCATAATGAAAAATCAATATTAAGCATGATTATCATTCATGGGTAATGGTTTTCAAACTAACTCTCTCAATAGACTTGTAAAAACTTGAATTTGACGAGTGTAGTTAATGGAATTAAGAAGTAATATCTGTTTACACATTTATAATCAATAATAATTTGAAAAGCTTCCACTAATTGGACAAGTATTTTCAAATATTATTTTTTTTTAAAAACAAAAAAGTAAGCCAAAATCTGTTTATTGATTACTTGAAAAAAAAGACAATATTCAGTAATAAACAGAAATAAAGTAATTTTAATACAAATCAATAGAATTATCATCATGTGTCATCTTTTTTCCATGAATAAAATTCAAATTTGTTTTTTTTTAAATAAATATTGAACATGATAGATTGTGTTAATTAATACATTTGAAATACTATTGATAAACTAAAGCGTTTTATAAATTAGCTCTCCAATCTTGTTGTTTAATTGATCTCAAAATAATCTATAGCTTCAAAGTTATCAAATTCTCTACGAAAATTTGTGACGTAATCCTAATTATATAACCTTGATGATAAATTGTTAGTCGAAACTGCAAGATGAAGTTGAGAGTGTTAACAGTAAGTCAGTCAGTCAGTCAGTCAGTCAGCAACAACGAACAACTTCGTAAGTGCGTCCGTAAGTAAGTACATAAGTTCAAGTTGCCATAAAACACATTAGCACATACAGACGCAATTGTCTGTTTGAATCCCATTATTATGGAAATAGTAGAAGTATTAGCTGTAATGAAGAAGATTAGGGTTCGAAGATATAATTCGAGAAGTATAATTCAGGGAAATAAATTTAGAAAGAGGAAAATAAAGGTGATGAGGAATTCAGAAGAGTGGAATTTGAGAGAGCAGAAAGAATGGAGACACCTGCGCCATTGCAAACGATTTTTAGCTATGTCGTTCAAGGTCTCTAGCCGTTGGTGACTTTCGTCTCTCGGACCCCAACCAGGTAGCTTACATCAACCAACATGACTCAGTTCACTTGTCAGTGACTTCATGGATTTGTGCCATGTTTTGGTTTGACCGATCCTACCTTTCTTCCAACCTACTCCTACACCACAAAATATCGCTCGAATAGAAAGTCGGTGGTCGGGCATCTGTAACACATGTCACAACGATCTCAGCTGAATTTTCAATACTTCACGTATTAATCTGCCATCCTTACCTAGTAATCATTTCTTAACAACACCGTTGCTTACTCAATGGTCCCAGGATATACATGTATTGCTTCGAAGACAACTATGATCGAATAAGAATATCCTCTACTTTTACTGTCCATGTTTCATACAAATACAGTAGGACGAAGCGAACTGCTCCGCAGTAGACTTGTCCTTTGGTTAGCAGACGGATATCTCTTCTACGCCATAAGTGACGAAAGTTGGTTGTTATCATCATAAATGAGATTGAATACTGATCAAGTTCAGTTATGTAAACCAGTGAAAATTAACTTTTTGACAAAATCCTACCTTTGTTTACAACAAGATTCTAGAAATAGGTGCCTTGTTCAGTGTATGACTTTCAATGTGGATTATCCAAAAGTTGTGAACAATCAGGAGAATGAACAACTGCCAAATGCTCGTTAGTTTCGGTAATTTTTCTTAACTTAATCTCATTTCATGATTGATACTTAATTACTTACGCCTGTTACGCCTAACTGAGCATAAACCGCCAACCAGCATTCTCCAACCTTCTCTGTCTTGAAGCTTCTATAGGATTAGGATATCGTAAAAGTTACCTTCTTATTTTAACATATATTTGACAAACAGCTTACTGCGCAGCAGTTCGCCCCGTCCTACAATACGGATGCTAAACATGGCCGGTAAGAGTCGAAGATATTCGTAGGTTACTGGTTTTTGATCATCGGTGTCTTCCAGGCATTACTTGTATATCCTTGGAGCACCGAGTAAGCAGTGCTAGTGTTAGGAAACGGGTCCTAGGTAATACTGGCTGATCAATAAATGAAGTATTGAAACCTCATCAGTTGAGGTGGTTAGGACATGTGTTACGTATGCCTAACCACCGACTGCCTTGATGGGCTATGTTTTGTGGTGTAGGAGTGAGCTAGAAGAAAGCTAGACCAAAAGAAGGCAGGAATCCATGAAGTTACTGACAAGTGAACTGACACGTGTTGGTAGGTGTAGTTAGGGTCCACGAGATGATAGTAATCGATGGTTAGCGAGACCTTGAATGACATGGCTAAAAGTCGTTTGCAATGGCGCAGATGCATTCACTATTTGTGTTCTCTCAAATTCTAATCTTCTGAATTCCTTATCACCTCTATCTTTCGCTTTCTAAATTTATCTCACTGCATCATACTTCTTGAATAATATCTTCGAACCCTAATCTTCTCCATTACCTCTACTACTATGAGATTCGAGCTGTCAACTGCATCTCTGCACTAATGCGGTATGACGACCTGAACTTAAGTTGCTCACATACGAAGTTCTTTGTTGTTTCTAACTGGCTGACTAACTGACTGACGAACAACTGAGTACTACTAGTAAGTTTAAAATTAACAGTGTAGTTTTTAAGTGCTATAAAATCACGTAAATATGATATCCAAACCCTATATATCATAACCATACCCGTTAATCATATAAATTTTATTCGTAACCATGAATCGACCAATGTTAGAACACCATTAGAAACCTGGAAGTACTGGACGGCCGTTTCGTCCTGGCATGGGACTCATCGGCAGTGCGCATACACGACTCCTGCTCCTCGCAGGACTCGAACCCAGGACCTTCGGTATTGTGCGCCAGCGCCCTAACCGTTAGACCACTGAGCCAGCATCTGACGGTGTTAATGTCTAACTTGATCAAATCCACGGAGTTGCGCGACCTCATACCCTGTATACATCCGGACAGGTTTGAACTTCACTGGTCACGACTTCCCACTAGAACTCGGAGAAGATTCCTCACGAAGCTAGTCACTAGTGGACACATGTCATTGCACTGCGGGGTTGTTGTGAAGATTGTTAAGTTTTATATGTAACCATGAATCGATCAATGTTAGACCACCATTAGAAACCTAGAAAAACAATGAAAAGTTTATGCCCCTACTTTGTTATTAATATTATTATCATTATTATTATTATTATTATTACTAACTTGACATAACTTATGAAAATAACGGATAGACCTATTTAGTACACTTGTACATTTCCTTTGATGACTGAGTCCAATCTACATATATATATATATATATATATATATATATATAATTATTATGTGATTCCTAAACTGATTTCTAATGTCACATTGATTGTATAAAAGTCTATTTATCCGACAAAGAGATAGAGAAAAAAAAATGGAGCATCAATATAAAATGACTAGACTTTTTCATTGAAAAATAAATTGTTTTTCTCCTAAAATTTAGTCAAGTTTCACTTTGTAGATACGGTTGTTGTGTTGTTGTTGCTGTTGTACGTTTTTTGCTTCACAATGACATTTTAGTAATCAAGTTTTCCCAGTGTTTTCATTTTTGGTTCGCCCTATTTTCTCCACATCTTTTGTTACTACTGATTTTGTTTCAAGTTAATGGATTAGTAGTAATTTTTTATTTTGTCATAGTTGTTTATTACTGAAATTATGAAATAAACATTATTGTTAGACTATTCACATTAGAAACCTGGGAAGCATTGAAAGACAGACGTTTCTTCATAGTTTAGGTAGGACTCATTCATCAGTGACAGTGTATACTATCCATGACTTCTGCAACTCGAAGGATTCGAACCAAGGACCTTCGATCTTGTATGCGGACATGAACACCTAAGAACAGCTAAGATATAATCGAATGATTGACGAGGTTGAAAGACAAGTGAATAAGTACTTCAGGAAGAATGCATGGATTAAATTGTCCAAATGCTGAGAGACAACGACTTTGCCCTAGAGCCCTTCTGGGGTCGCCGCCGGTCCTAAGCTTGGATAAAGGAGGAATGTCGAGTATGGGTATAGTAATCCCACACCGCATAGAAATCCAACTCTCCAAAAAAAAAACATCGGAAAAATTATTCACTAGTCGACGGACAACGCTCCACTAGGGGCAACAGGTATAAGTAGGTATTGTTTGGAAGAGTATTTACGTCTCATGATGAAAAACCGAATTTCTTCGAAAACCACTAGGCCAGTGCCCTCAACTGACAATCAGAATAACAATTTATATAAATTATTAGTTACTTACTTATATTTTCTTATTCACTTCTATATATGTATCTTTTTTCTTACATTCAAACAAAACTTCAAAAGGATTCGATGAACATATTCAAACTACGAAAGATTCAATGTACAATCTATTACAGTTGGAAGATGAATTACATAGACGTTTAACTGATTTAGCTACCAATCTTAATGATTTACATGATCAAGCTATAAAAGAATATTTATCTGCACAATTTTTGAAAAATCAAACAAATAATATTGAAAAAATCCTTGTCAACATTGAACATAGAGTAAGTTATTATCATGTATGAATTATTTACTTACTATTCAGCTTTGTTTTATTAAATTATTTTCTTTTTTTTTGAAAAAAAAAGAAAAGACGTACTATTTATTATAGATAAAATTACTCTGTTCATAATTATTCACCGACAGGATATTGATTTTCTCTAAATCAGTAGTAATCAGTAAAGAGAGTAGTTTCTATTTTTTTTTTTTCAAAACGATTGCATGAAGTTGTCATGTTTTCAATGTCCAAGGTCTCTAATCCTAATCAGTATGTATGTATGTGTATACAACAGATGTATAACACAGCATTATCAACACCACAACTATTATTTATATCGCATGTACTGTCAACAAACATTCTCGGTAACTATTAGTTACTCTCTAACATGGTCACTTTATTAATGTCAGCGTTGTTGATAAGCGGTTGGTTAACAAGCAGCAAGTGAGAACAACAAAATTTCAATTGAAGTTAATTAGTTAATACTAGTTTATTGGGGAAATAATCAGAATGAGTCTTGATATGAAGTGGGAAATAATAATAAAGAGAAAGCTGAATACTTTTTTGTGAAATCTTGTTGCGTCTAATTCGAAGTTCGTTTAGAATCAATATTCAATAAAAATATCAAGCTTTCGTTTAATGTATGATGTATTCATGGTCATACTTTGTTTCATTTGAAAATTATTGTAACCTGAACACATAACCCTCATATTCTGCTTTATTCTACCTTAAATGTCCCCTAGTTTAGACATAATCGTATGATTCTCATTTTGTTTTTTGTGCGTTCCGGGTTGTCTCGTTTTTTGGTTAATCGAATTAGGAATAAATTGAGTAGTGGTCCAATCGATTCATTTGCTAACTTATCCGATGATAGAATAGAGTTTTCTTCGCTCTCTCTCTCTCTCTGCTCAAGGTCGTTAAGTCACAACCGACCTCATGTACTTTTTGAGATGGTGGAGAAAACTTGTAACTCAGAGAACGAAGCACCACCACAACGACCTCATGTACTACTAGTCTCTCTCACGGTTAACTACATAGCCCCTATCATGTCAACGTTTTTTGTTAACTCAATTGAGACAACATTATTTCCTGTGTGTGTATTTATTAGTGAGTAAACGATTCAAGGATGTAACACTCATGAACCCAAAAAATATTATGCATTATTGAATTCAACAACAGATTTTAAACAAGTAGTGACTTTAGGCTAAAATGATCTGAGCTTTTCGTTATCTAATGACTGATGATGATAAGAGAGTTACAGCATAAAAACTTTTTCGAGTGAGTATTTATTATCCATTTTATTTAAACAAACATTCATTGATCGAAACAAGTGTTTTGTCATAGTTTTTCAACTATTGACCTGTGAATGAATAACAATTAAGGCTGGTTTGATTAGTTAGATCAGTGGTTAAGATTTCATTGAGCTGATAAATTAAGAAAAATACTTACGCCTGTTACCTTTCATAAAGAGCATAGGCCACTGACCAGCATTCTCCAACTCAACTCTGTCTTCGGCTTTGCTTCCAATTTTTCAAAGTGATGCGTTCGTCGGTTTTGTGTATTTCGATTTTTTGATCTTCTATTATTATTATTAATATTATTCAAGCTCATAAACACACATGAACTCAAACCTACGCAAATAAGATAACCTCCTTATCTTTTGCAAAATTTCGACATTTTCGAATAAATTTTTTTTTTTTGCAAACACAGGCACTTTTTTTGTATCCTTGTTTGTTGGGCGGAAGTTATTTTGGCACCTCACATATATATCTTGTACTTTTATCATTGTTGAGCTTGTATGCGCGCATGTATGTACGCTTGGACAATACTCTTTACCACCTACTCATACAGTTATTTGACTAGCTTTATCGATTAACAGTTTTTAATAATTCGATGGCAATATCGACTAGACATATTTAAATTAAATCCGATATTTGTATCGATCATTAAGATATTTTCAATAATAAAGAAATTGTGGCAACGACTCGTGTTCTCTTGTAGAGATCATCAAGACGGAGATCTAAGGAATTTAGAAGATAAAGATAGTCCAACGCCATAGTTTTTCTATTTTCTTTTGACCCTGAAGGTTCCAAGTTAAAGTTTGCGCCGTCATGCTGTTCGGTGATTTTGTGATTAACACATATTAAATCTGTAGTATGTAAAAGGTGTCACTTTTGATTCAGGGATTCAAGCATCAGTTGTTTTCAAGTAGGATATGTTTAGATTTACTGGACGAAATAACTATACTTATAGTAGCAAAAATTTGTAGCCTAGGTGGATAATTGTGATGGGGTTTTATTATTCTCTGATATGAATGTTTTGGGCGTGGAGCTTTCTTCAGTGTTCTTCTTCTGAAGTAAATATCATCGTCAGCAACACAAACTTCAGACAGTAGAAGTGAAGTATTCGAATTTTTCGACATATCAAAAAATAAAGGTGAACACAACGACAGATTTTCAGATCAGTCAGTAACAACCAATCAAGATCGAGGTCAGCAGAAAAACAAGCTACGAGTCATATCCCCTGGAGAAATTCGAATACTTCAATTCTGGCATCTGAACTTTGTTAAGCAGAGAGGAGGAACAATGAAAGCTCCACAACCAAAAAAAAAAACATTTAGCTCAGAGAACGAACAACACTCCATCATAATTATACTTATGAACAAATCAAAAATTGTGTCCTTTGTTACTTTCTCAATTATATACTAAAACTTAATTTTACATAAACATTCAATTCAGTAGACTGTATAATTCATCAGCCCCGGCATTGTTTCCATCACTAAATCTATGATCAATAGTTTTACATTTGAACTAGTTCATGATTACAACAATCCGTCTAAAGATTGAGTTCAATGTACAATAATGTGTGCATGGCAAAATAAAAGAACGCACTCACACACACTCACATGTGCGTATTTTATCTACACAAACACATGAATTGAATAAACTGTATGTATACACACAGAGAGAGAGAGAGAGAGATAAAGAAATCGAGAGCGCGATGGAGGGAAGGAGAGAGATAGAGAGTGAGACATTAAACAGCTGCATACAAAAATATTATACATTTTGTATTAACAAGAAAAAAAAAATAGATTATAAATATTCTGTCATGTAAACAGGTCAAAGAAAATTACGAAAGCAGTCTGTCTTGTCTCCTTATTTTTTTTTTCGTTTATCGATCGATGTAAAAAAAATTCATCGAAAAGTTATTCTTTCACTTACTACTGTTCATGTGTATATAGTATTTCTTTTTATTATTTTATTATTATTTGATTAAGTTAATTTAAAAATCAGACAAGATTGTGATTTTTTTATTCTCTCTAAATAAAAATATCGTCACTGATGTACTTAGTCTGAATATATATATATATGTAAATATATATAATTTACAGTGTAATTTAATTTTTGCGCCATTTATAATATTGTAGCGTTATATCTTTTTTTCAAAGTTCAATATTGTGTAGAATATGAATCAGTGTTGAATAGGTTCTTATTTATTTGATGGGTATATATATATATATATATATATATATATATATATATATACATATATTGATAAGTTCGTCACTTAGTATGCTTGAGGCTATTACGAGTTTACCTTAGTCGATAAACGCGAACGAGACTTTTACCAGCTTCCAGGGAGGCTACCTTGAATACCCAAAGACGAAATAAAAGGTTTTGTAAGCGTAGAAGTATATTCTACAAACACCCAGCAATCACAGTACCATCAAGCATACAACTCTCGTTTATTTATACAACATAGGAACGTCCTTGAGACAGTTAAGAAAATAGCATACTAAAATACACAGCAGCCAATCACGGCCATGGATTTTGCTGGTGGGAATTGAAATCTCAAGGTCATCTGATCAGCCCATGTTGGCAAAACGTGAAAACCAAAATACGGCATTATCAAGCGAATTTCGGGGATCTAACATCCCCAACATATATATATATATATATATATATATATATATATAAGAGCATAGTTTTCTAGTGAGGAAATTATTATTTCCAACTTAAAGTTACAGTCTACCTAAATTTTTTTTCCATCCAACAAGTAGAAATGCGCTACAACGAAATGTTCATACTGGACATTTGTAAATAGCTTTAGATTGTTCACATGTAATCCCAATGGAAAATCATCCCTCTATATTTAGTATCAACTGACTGAAGAGACGAGAATGTGTTACGCCTGCACGTAAACACGTCAACTTGATATACTTGAACTATTATTATGAGTTTATCCCTTAGTCGGAAAACGAGAACTAGGATCAAGGATCCGGTGACATGACATGCTACTCAAATCCGATTATCCCCGAGCCCCCATAATATTCAGTGAAAATAAAAAGACTTGAATGTGGAGTAGAATCTGTATTCTACAAGCATCCAGAAAGTACGAGGTCCGAATCCAGAAGAGAATCAGGATCCCGGAATAGGGATCCGGCACCGGGTCCTGGTTGTGGTCATAAAACGTTACAGATAATGCGTATTTATACATTTTGGTCGAATAGGAAACAGCATCGAATTCTGTGACATTGACAGTTAAGACGACCAATAGTCAGTAACATTTGAAGTGACATTGATAGTCAGGACAACCAATAAGAAACGACATTGGAGCGTGTGACATTGACATCTAGGACGACCATTAAAATTGACCAGTAGGAATTAATCAATAGGAATTGACCAATAATTCTATTAGGATATTGGATGAATAACCTAACAGAATGTACCAAATATTTGAGCTTATATTTGTTGTGTACTTGTATTTGAGATGATTGTTCAACGACGTATTGAAATCCAACTATCTAAGAAATTGTATCCAAGATGTTATTTCGTTGTTTAAATCATTTTAAAATCTAAACAAAATGTTTAAATTATGAATTAAAGCATATACTTCATTGTTGAACTATAAGAGAAGCAAGTTTGACAGGTAAATACATTCAAAGACGACGCTAGATTGTGTGAAGTTTTTAAATAGGCTAATAAGGTAAGTGTGTGTATCCCTCTACCATTCAGAGATGAATTAAATAATTTGATTGTAAGACAGAGACTGAAAAAGCAGCCATTGAAAAAAAACATATTATTCAGATAAATTGGTAGTCGTTGATAGGACTAAGCTCACAGGTTCCGCCTAGACGTTGTACTAGCGATTACGTTATATCCTAGTGCATCTATCAATTTGGATGTTTGTGTAAGTGAACAATGCAATCAAAAGTTAAGGAACATGTACCTAAATATCAAATCATCCAATAAATGACAGACATAGAAAGTTATGTACATCAGTAGCAAAACACATAACTGAAAAAGAACATAGTGTGGTGCGAGCTACTTATAAGTAGTATATGAAGTGAGTGTCAACATAATGTCTGGAATCAGAAGATGGGGGAAGACCAAGAAAGGAAGAGTTAGAAAACAATGGAATTTTTTATGAAACGCATGAATAGTGACAATGGATTGATGTTTTGCAACAGGAACAGTCCAGTTCAATATGATGAACTGATATTTTGCAAATGAACAATTTACGATATGGTTTTCCAATTTTACTGAGTAGCCCTGTAATTTTCATTAAATACAATTCTGTTGCCCCACCTGTGTTCTCGTTCACTACAATAGGATTGACATCAAGACAGATTTTAAAACGTTGTATAGAAGTGTTCAAGGATGAACTCTGAAATTTATAGATGCTTTGGCTATTCAGTAATTCAATTCCCCTTATGCGTACAGAAACACTTTGTTCTAACCTCGTAATCTTTAAGCTATTTTTTTTGTTGATTCTTCTCATGCCTGTCTCAATCTCTCGGCGTTATGTGTTTTTTGATCTTCCTATTTTCATTTTACCTTGAGGATTCCAAGTTAGGGACTGCCTTGTGACGTAGTTGAATACGTGCGCTATCCACCTCCAACGTTTCTTCTTAATTTCTTCCTCTGCTGGAATCCGGTTTGTTCTCTCTCACTGTACCTTGTTGTTGTTCCTGATAGTGTCTGACCAGCGAATCCAAAGTAATTTGCAAAGACAACTGTGAATAAACACCTGTATCCTCTGGATGATAGTTTCCATAGTTCTGAAAGTTTCTACCCCATACAAAAGAACTTGTCTTGACATTTAGATTGAAAATTATGAATTTGGTGTTTGTTGATAGTCGTCTGGAGTTCCAGTTGTTCTTCAATTGTAGAAATCCTGTCCTTACCTCTACCGATAGTAAAAACTAATTTAATTTTTAATCATTTTTTACAACAAAATCTCTTCTTTTTTCATTTTACTAATATTTTCTATTTTTTTTTTTAGATTACAAACAATACACTACTGTTGGATAAATTCTATGAAAAATTAACTGATTTAAAAACACAACATGAATTGGAAATTCTACCGGAAATACAAAAAACATCTCAATTAGTTCGTGGAATCAGTGATGAGGCGCTACGTCTGATTGAAACAGCTGATTTATCACATCGTAATGGCAATAAATTAGTTGAAGATATTAATGATTTGTTAAGACGGATGAAAAAACTTAAAGAACAATTAAGTAGGTTAATGAGAATTTGTTGTGTAATATTTCTTTCACAAGTGGTGTATAACTTTATGATGTTTTAATTTTTGATTGAATAAATCTACATCATGGGTATTAGGGTGGATGTTCATTTCCGGCTGCCTATACTGTGGAAAGGTTTTGGTTGTTAGAAGGAGCGTCGGCCTCACGACTTCTAAAGGAACTCGGCTTTCATCGTGAGACGTCATAACTCTTCTAAATGAAGACCTAACTCGCACAGCAGAGTTTATATAGTTTGAATTATTTTTTCTTGTTAAAGTTTTTTTAGCTAATACTTTTACTACCTCTACTACTATGGGATTTGAATTGACAAATGCATTTCTGTGTGCTAGTGTGGTATGGCAACATGAACTGATGTACCTACGTATGTACGAAGTTCTACCTTGCTGTTGATTGATTGATTGATTGACATCATGGATTGAGTTTACTTTGATTAAACTACCATGAAAAATCAATAAATATTGGACATCTTAATATTGTGTGTGTCGACGATTAGATTAATGAAGATCAGTGTTCTTACCCGCTGAAATCATCAACCAGTCAATCATTGTTAGACCACTTTTAGAAACCTGAAAGCACTGAAACATGGCCTCTTCATCCTGGTATGTGACTCACCAGCGGCAGTGTACTTCGACTACTCCTGTACCTCTCACGATTCGAACCAAGGACATTCCTTTGTGCGAACGAACACATAACCTCTGGACCACTGAACCAGCATTCAACGGTGTTAATCTCTAACTCTGATTATTCTAGGGATTTTGTGTGACCTCATCTATTTGTCTTCAGTATTTACTGCCTAAGTCCAACAGGGTTGAACTCGACTGGTCACATATATATATATATATATATATCGATGTCAAACTAGGTCATAAGTCTTCCATGCACTAATTATGGTTTGATCGAGTCGCTATTGACAGTAATCACCAAAAAGCAGTGGATATACATTTATTTGCAAACTAACATAAATAATCCATCCTGAATGGATTATGGTTCGCAATGAAATTTTTTGTCAGTAAAAAACGGTTGTTGTGTGTTCTAAACCTGAACTAGGATTTTTTCAATTAGAGTTATGGAGACCAGTGTTCTTTTACACGTTGAAATCCTCAACCAATCAATCATTGTTGGATCACCATTAGAAACCTATAAGCATTGGACGGCTGTTTCGTCCTGATGTGGGACTAAGCATCTGTAGTGCGCATCCACAACTCTCTCGATGTGACCAGTAAAGTTTAACTCTGTCCGGTGTCAGAAGTTACCTACACCAAACACAATGGTTGAGGTTGCATAAAACCTGATTAGATTGTTTACAGTTAGACATTAACACCACCGACTTAGGGGTCTAAAGTTTAAGCATTTGCGCAGGAGACTCAAGTGCCTGTGTTTCCACTGCCACTTGCGGAGGTTATGGATACGAACTGCTACAGCCCTCTTTCAATGCTTCCAGGTCTAACAATGATTGATTCATAATTTCAAAGATAATTTCAACAATCTCTATAACTCTATATATACGCAATAAATAAAATTTTTATGACAAATATTTTTTTTTCTGATCATCTCACACGTTTCTCCCTTTTATTTTTCATTTCATTTCAATTCACACAGAAGAAACAACATCGAAACCAGGTCCAGGCACACTAATCCCAACTCAACCAATTCCATCATCTGAAGATGCATTAACACGTTTTACAAAATTAAAAAATGATTACCAGAAAATACAATTAAATGAACGACTACAATTATTAAAACAATTAAATAATTCACGTACAATTGAATTAATTTATTTCAGTCGACAAATTTATGAATATAAATTGCATTATGAACATTTACAACGTATTCATACATTATTACCAAGTATTGAAGCAGGTTGTTTTTATACTGGTAAAGTAATTGAAGCTAATGAATATGAACGTAGAAATTCTTGAAATCGTTTTTTTTTAAACTTCCATTATTTCCAGTCTCTTCTTCACTACGTTGCGTTGCGTTGCGTTGCGTTGCGCTGTGCTCCGCTGCGCTTCGTTGTCAACTCCTTCGTTTTATTTTTAACATTGATCAGTGTTTTTCTCTTATTCATTACAATTCTTTTTCGCTTAAAATTTATTGAACACATGTCATTTTGATGTGAATTATTTCAATCTTCTCTTAGACTATTTTCTTTCATCTGTCTGCTGTGTATTATTAGGTGAAATAAAAATCAATTTCTTGTCACTTTTCTCCCTTTGTATTTTGTCTTTATTTTGTCTGATTAAAACAAGGTTTCTGTCTGTTGAATCTTCTTTTTGTTTTATTCAAAAACTAGAATATTTTTTTTTATTAATTCTTACAAAAAAAATAATATATATTTATTTATTTCTAAATAATATTATTTATTTGTAATAATAATAATTAATAAATAAATAATTAATTATAGGCTTACAGAAATAATGTTTTTTTTTCAAAAATTAATTAATTAATTAAATTGAGAAATGGTCATGTTTTCATTTCCCAAAAAAAAACTAATCTTATTAGGTTGTTTCATTTATATTCATAATCCCAATTCAATGTTCAATCAGAAAAAAATATATATATATATATATACATCCCTCTTATTGTTACTTCAACAATGAACACGCCACTTTCAAAATCATACCTTTCTTTTTTGCTCATAGATACGCGTGAATGAATATGATGGTAAATGGTTGAGTAGCATTAACCAAAATGTTTTATGTGTAGTGTAGTGTATTGTGCGTCTAATATTGTATTGTATGTTGTAATAAGTGATCAGTTGCAGTGTACACAATGTGCCTTATTTCAATTGATTTTTAATTAATGCAATCACTTGAATATTGAACAATTATTTCACGATAGGTACCAACAATATAAAGAACAGTAATAAATATATTGAACATTGATAACGTACATACATATATACATATACATTTTGTGCAAAATGTTTTCTTAATTTTAACTCAATCATGATTATTAGTTGAATTCCAAAAAATGTTTGGATTAATTTAATATTTTTTTTAAAAAATGATTTTAACGAGGTGGATGGATTTTCTTTTTGTGTTTAGTTTATCAAAAAAATGTTAATTTTTAACTGTTTTTTTTCTTAATCATAAAAATTAATTAATTAATTAATGAATTACTTTATGTGTATATGTTTATTTGATTACATAATAAATATGATTATAAGTAGTTATGTAATACTTACTTTATGTTGTGAATAAATTCATATTTTTATTAATTGTTTGACACTTTCCATGTGATGCCTAGCTTTGCTGTCATTGATCAGTGTCTTTGGTTGAATGTGAATCCTGTGCTGAATGCTTTGATACTGTCTTTAAGGTTAAAAGCATTGTTATTATTATTATTATTATTAAAAGTGAAGAGTGTTTCGCCCGATTTAAAGACTCATCAGCCTGGATGTATTCAACTCAGTAGTTAAGTGAATAAATAGTGTGATGGCGTTTTATTGGTGACCGAGTCGAGATTGAGTATGATCACCACTAAATACTAATTATTATTCCGTCATATTAAATACAAATAAATCCAGGGTAAAGAATATACTTTAAGGAGAAAATGGGCGATACAGTGAGTAGCAAGTTAGGAAGGATGGTAACAACGTGAAAAAAGAACGTTGCGCATAAGTAAGTGTTTTTAGTACAATTAAACAAAACGGGTACAATAATAAATGTCTATTTTTTTCACCAATCACGTTTTATTCGTCGAAGTATTCCACTACAGCGTGTTTGAAGCATAATTTATCAGCAGTATAATATACAAACAACGACAGATTTAAGGTCAACAACAACAACCAATCAAGATCAAGGTTAATAGAACAAGCAATAGGTCAAACAAGGAGAAAAATTCGAATACTTCACTTTTGCTATTTGAAGTTTTATGCTGACGATGATGTTGTTTATAAAGAGGAAAAGTGAAAGATCCACAACCAAAACATTCAGCTCAGCGGACGAAACACCACAACACTGCGTTCGAGTCTTGGAGATGGTGATACAGTCCAACAGATGAATCTCTAGTAACATGAGACACCTATCCGGTGAGTTGGATGAAAAGTCACTTTAGGTAAGCATAACTTTATAATATTAAGAGAAGACAGAGCTGTTTAACTTCAAACAAACAATACATCATATCCCGACAATGATATTTACACAACATTTAAAATGTTACACTGTAAAAAAAAATGAAACTTCATCATTAGACAATTTTGACGCAAAAAAAAATAATCATTTTTATTATTGTTTTGATAAATTCCAGAAAAAAAAAACCGTTTTTTTTTAAAAAAATAACCGACTTTTACTGAGTGTGATTAAGTGATTGAGTTACAAAATGTACAAAAAAAGTAGACATAGTTTCCCGGCATAATAATAAGTGAAAAACCTACCACAGATAAATAAATGCTTGTAACAAAAAAGAAAACTGTGTTGTCATTTTATCCTGTGTTGACATTAGAACATTAGAACAGAATTGTTATTTAAATTGACATGAATGCAAGTCAATTTTGAGAGAGAAAAAACAATCCACAGTACTACTGTGGTGTGAGCTACTTATAAGTAGTATATGACGTGAGTGTCAACGTAATGTCTGGTAGCAGAAGATGGGGGAGGATCAAGAAAGGAAGAGTTAGAAAACAATGGAATTTGTATGAAACGCATGAATAGTAGTGACAATGGATTGATGTTTTGCAACAGGAACAGTCCAGTTCGATATGATGGACTGATATTTTGCAAATGAACGAGTTACGATATGGTTTTCCAATTTTACTGAGTAACTCTGTAATTTTCGTTAAATACAATTCAGTTGCCCCACCTGTGTTCTCGTTCACTACACTACTACTGCATGATAGTTAGAAAATAGGAATTGACTCTATCAAATTATGATTTTTGCGCTACAGAATTATGGAGAACGTTGTGTGTTTGCACATTGAAATCATGAGTGAATCATCGTCGTTAGACTTACTTTCTTACTTACTTTCGCCTGTTACCCCCAATGGAGCATAGGCCGCCCACCAGTTTTCTCCAACCAACTCTGTCCTGGGCTTCCCTTTCCAGTTCTGTCCAATGTTTGTTCATTCCCCTCATATCTTTCTCTATTTCTCGGCGTAGTGTGTTCCTTGGCCTTCCTCTTTTCCTTTTGCCCTGAGGGTTCCATGTGAGGGCTTGTCTAGTGACGCAGTTGGGTGCTTTTCGTAGTGTATGTCCTATCCACTTCCACCGCTTCTTCCTGATTTCCTCCTCCATTGGAATCTGACTTGTTCTCTCCCACAGTTCGTTGTTGCTGATGGTGTCTGGCCAACGAATACGAAGTATTTTGCGTAGACAGCTGTTAATAAACACTTGTATCTTCTGAATGATGGCTTTCGTAGTTCTCCATGTTTCCGCTCCATACAGTAGAACTGTCTTGACATTTGTATTGAAAATCCTGATTTTGGTTTTGTTTGAAAGTTGTTTGGAGTTCCAGATATTTTTCAACTGTAGAAATGCAGCCCTTGCTTTGCCAATCCGCGCCCTCACATCTGCGTCCGATCCACCTTTCTCGTCGATGATGCTGCCAAGATATGTGAAGGTGTTAACGTCCTCCAAGGCATCTCCATCAAGCGTGATTTGGTTGGTGCATGTTGTGTTGCATCGGAGAATTTTGCTTTTTCCTTTATGTATGTTGAGACCTACTGCTGCAGAGGCTGCTGCTACACTCGTCGTCTTCTCTTGCATTTGTTGTTGAGTGTGCGATAGAAGAGCCAGATCATCTGCGAAGTCCAGATCGTCCAGCTGCGTCCTAACTGTCCAGTTGATACCGTGATTCCCTCCAGATGTTGACGTCTTCATAATCCAGTCGATCACCAGGAGAAAGAGAAAGGGTGAGAGTAAGCAACCTTGCCTGACACCGGTCTTCACCTCAAAAGAGTCTGTCAGCTGACCTCCGTGTACGATTTTGCAGTTGAATCCATCATAAGAATTCCGTATGATGTTGACAATTTTCTCAGGCACACCGTAGTGTCGAAGAAGCCTCCACAGTGTTTTCCTATCCACGCTATCGAATGCTTTCTCGTAGTCGATGAAGTTGATGTAGAGTGGTGAGTTCCATTCAATTGATTGTTCCACAATGATCCGTAATGTAGCAATTTGGTCAGTACACGATCGATCCTTACGAAATCCAGCCTGTTGATCTCGAAGTTGGGCGTCTACGAAGTCCTTCATTCTGTTTAACAATACTCTGTTGAAGACTTTGCCTGGTATTGAAAGAAGAGTGATGCCTCTGTAGTTCTCACACTTGCTGAGGTCGCCTTTCTTTGGTATTTTGATCAGGTATCCTTCTTTCCAATCTGATGGTACTTGTTCCTCATCCCAAATCTTCTTGAAGAGAATGTGAAATATTTTCGCAGTTGCTTCCACATCTGCTTTCATTGCCTCTGCGGGAATGTTGTCTGGTCCTGCTGCTTTGCCGCTCTTGATTTGTCTGATGGCTATACTGATCTCCTCAATCGTAGGTGCGCCAATATTAATTGGGAGGTCCGTGGATGCTGCTTCGATGTTGGGTGGGTTCAGTGGAGCTGGTCGATTCAATAGTTCCTTAAAGTGCTCCACCCACCTATTTCGCTGTTCGTCAGTGTTGCTGATTATTTTCCCTTCCTTGCTTTTCACTGGTCGTTCTGGTTTACGATAGTTTCCGGCGAGCTTCTTTGTAGTTTCGTACAATTGTCTCAAGTTTCCTTCTCTTGCAGCCTTTTCCGCCGTCATTGCTAGATAATCCACATATTTTCGTTTGTCAGCTCTGATGCTCTTCTTCACTTCCCTGTTTGCTTCTGTATACTCGGCTTGCGCCTTAACTTTCTCTGCTCTTGTTCGGCAGACATTGATAGCTGCCTTCTTGTTCCTCCTTTCTTGAATTTTTTCAAGAGTACCAACAGAGATCCATTCCTTGTGATGGTGCTTCTTGCGACCAAGGACCTCCTGACATGTTGAAGTGATTGCCTCCTTAATCCCTTTCCAATTGTACTCCAATGTTGCTTCCTCTCCATTGAGTAGATCCTGAAAGGCCTGGAACCTATTGGTGAGGGCTATCTTGAATTCGTTGAGTTTTACGGTATCCCGAAGAAAGGCCGTATTAAACTTCTGTGATGTTGTCTGCCCCGTTGTCCAGTGCTTCTTTAGCTTCAATCTCATTTTGGCGATCAGCAAGTGGTGATCTGAAGCTATATCAGCTCCTCTCTTGGTTCTCACATCCTCCATGGTCCTTCTGAACTTTTTGTTGATACAGATATGGTCAATTTGGTTTTGAGTAGTGTGGTCCGGTGAAATCCATGTGGCTTTGTGAA